GGGTACTGACGAGCTGAAAGCGGTAAGACGATGCGTTTCCAAGCCCCAAGGCTCATGAAGGAGATCGGAGAGAAAATCGCCGACGGACACCAACTCGCGTGAGGCCACGTTGCCAACTTGGCTCCAGCCACTGTGCTGTAGCACAGCATGCGTAGTTATTCGCCATGCTGGGAGGTCATGAAACCCCCGCGCCAGCCATGGAGCTGTAGCGCCGCACGAGACACATACATTCCGTGCCACACCGGCCATTGCCGAGTTGTGAGGCCATGATGCCAGACCAGCCATAGCGCTGTCTGGTTGAAAAGCCGTACTAGAAGGCCACAGTGCCTTGTGCTCTACGTACATGTACGCGTACACGTACACATACACGTACACGTACACGTACACATACACGTACATGCATTTGATGATGTACAAGTACATGTAGTACATATTTAAGGCGAAGAACTAAATACCGCCCTCACGCACCAGCAGCATTGCTGTAGTGTCACGCCATACTGGGAGGCCAAATGCCCCACTTGCGAGCTATAAAGCTGTGCAAAAATTATTCCAGCTACAAGCTGTGTATTTACTACTAGTATATGTGTACTTAATGAAATACCATTTTAAATATGTGCATCTCGAGCTACAAGGAGGAATGGCACAGCTAAAACCTCGCTTAATGCAAAGCTGCAGCAGTCTACTAAATGCAGATCTACGGCTTGTTGAGAACAGGTAATCCACTACATTTTGGACCTGTAAAATAAAAATATACCTTAAAAAAAACAAGAAAGAGATAAAATAAAAATGGGCAATTGTCCATACAAACATGTGTCTGGTATTTAACCAAGTTAAGAAATACGCCCAGAAATGTATGAAACTGGGAGGCAACAACGCCAAAACAATTCATTCAATTCGCCAAACTTAAAAAAAAAATTATTGCGGCAAAAGTTTCAAACATTTCCAGCATAAAGAAAAAATCTTCAATACTTTATGACTTTAAGACAAGCCTACACAAGCCTCTGTCTACAGAAAGCAACTATAGTTTTACTGCATTAGTTTCATTTTCAATGGAATCGATAGTTTACAAACCTATTGCTTGCACTTGCGAAGTATAAACAAAATAAAAATCTTCGAAATGAGAAACAACTCCATGAGCCTCTAGGGAGAAAAATAGCCCCAACGATGAGAGCCTGCAAACAAGATGCGTACACTACCGATGACACTGTTAGATGTTTTTATGCTTTGAAAGCTGTAGCCTTTCTTCAAAAATATTTGAAAACTATAAGCTCTCAATAATAATAGTCAGAACAAATTGAAAATGACTGCAGCACCTATATCAACCATTTCATGAAATTGGGAGGCAATTCTATAAGACCTCAGCAGCGGAAAAACAAAAAACAAACCACACATATGAAAGAGCAAAACAATGGCAGTTTAAGAAATGAACAAAGCTAAAACGCATACACAAAATATATAAAGATAAATACGGTGATCAGGTGTATCCTCAAAGGTTTCCTGAGTAGCCAACAACAGAGCGAACAGGTTTTGATCCTTAAAATTAAAGGTTTTCCTGAGGTAGCTTCTACAAATTCGTAAAGCTAAAACGATAACAGCAACAATTCAGCGAACAGGTTTTGATCCTTAAAATTAAAGGTTTCCCTGAAGTAGCTGCTACAAATTCGTATAACTAAAACGATAGCAACAACAATCACTACGGTGAACAGGTTTAATCCTCTAAGGTTTTCCTGAGTAGCCAAAATAACAATGAAAACAAGAAATCAGCACAGTTATTGCCAAAGCAAAACAGCACAAGGCGACAAATCTGACAATGAAAGTCAAAGGAAAAAGATCATCAATATCAAAACAAGATCTACTTCTTGTAAATGCTCATGTACGTACAGGACTGTTATAACAGCCACCTGTGGTAACTATCCGACAGATAGAGCATCATACACATTCCTCGATGTGGGAGGCTGTCGAAGTAAGCATCTCCGATGTGATGATGACTATCTAGTGAAATATAACTGTACTATTTCATATAGAGAAATTGTAATCGAAGGTAACTGCTTTGGGGGCAGCCATTGTAATGAGATGCACGGCGATAGTAGGGTCCATCCGG